AGTAAGATTCTGTTCATTTTTTTGATTCGCATCGCAGTAGTAAAATGATGTTGAAACTATTAGTGAACATCATATGACAATTGAATACTATCCACTAAGATTCCACTGATCTGTTTAATTCTTTTCGAAGTGGTAGAACGATTTTGAATCTATGAGAGCATTGTATGAGAATGAATATTACTTACAAAAATTCTATTCATCTCTTTCATTCGTATTGTAGTAATAGAATGATGTTGAATGTATGAGTAAAGATCGTGTGATAAATGAATGCTTTTCACAAAAATTCCATTCATCTCTTTACTTCGCATCGAAGTAGTAGAATAGTGTTGCAACTATCAGTAAACATCATATCAGAAATGAATACTATTTACCAAGATTCTATTCGTCTTTTTGATTTGCATCGAAGTGGTAGAATGGCGTTGAAACTATGAGTAAACAGCATATCACAAATGAATACTATTGAGTAAGATTCTATTCATCTGTTTCATTCTTATCGAAATGGTAGAATGATTTTGAAACTATGCGTAAACGTCGTATGACAAATGAATACTATTCACCAACATTCTATTCATCTCTTTGATTTGCATCGGAGTAGTAGAATGGTGTTGAAACTATGAGTAAACAGCATATCAGAAATGAATACTATTGAGTAAGATTATATTCATCTCTTTGATTCGGATCGAAGTGGTAGAATGATGTTGAAACTATGCGTAAAGACCATATGACAAATGAATACATTTCACCAAGGTTCTATTCATTTCTTTGATTCGCATGAAAGTGGTAGAATGATGTTGAAGCTATGGGTAAACATCGTATGAAGAATGAATACTATTCATCAACATTCTATTCATCTTTTTGATTCGCATCGAAGTGGTAAAATGGTGTTGAACCTATGAGTAAACATCATATCAGAAATGAATACTATTTACCAAGATTTTATTCATCTTTTTGTTTGGCATCGAAGTGGTAGAATGGTATTGAAACTATGAATAAACATCATATCATAAATGAATAAGATTGACTAAGATTCTATTCATCTCATTGATGCGCATGGAAGTGGTAGGACTTTGTTGAAGCGATGAGTAAACATTATAGGGCAAATGAATAGTATTTAGTAAGATTCTATTCATCTTTTCGTTTGGCATCCAAGTAGTAAAATGATGCTGAAACTATGAGTAAACATCATATAACAAACGAATACTATTTACCAACATCGTATTCATCTCGTTGATTCGCTTCGAAGTGTTAGAATGCTGTGGAGCCTATTAGTAAACATAATATGACAAATGAATACTATTCACCAACATTCTGTTCACCTCTTTGATTCGCTTCGAAATGGTTGAATGGTATTCAACGTATAAGTAAATATCGTGTAAGAAATTAATTCTATTCATAAGGATTCTATTCATCTCTGGGATTCGCATCGAAGTGGTAGAATGATGTTGAAACTATGAGTAAACATGATATGACAAATGAATATTCTTGAGGAGGATTCTATTCATCTTCTTGATTCGTACTGAAATGGTAAAATTGTGTTGAATGGCTGCGTAAACAGCATATCGGAAATGAATACTATTCACCAACATCATATTCATGTTTTTGATTCGCGTCGAAGTGGTAGAACGATGTTCAAACAACTAGTAAACGTCAGATAACAAATGAATACTATTCATGAAGATTGAATTCATCTCTTTGATTCGCATCTATGTGGTAGAATGATGGTGAATCTATGAGTAAGGATTGTGCGAGAAATGAATACTTTGCACAAAGATTTGATTCATTTGTTTGATTCGCTTGGAAATGTTAGAACAGTGTTGAGCCTATGAGTGAACATCAGATGAGAAATGGGTACTATTCAAAAAGATTCTATTCATCTCTTTGGTTCGCATTGAATGGCTGAAATGACGTTGAATCGATGAGTAAAGAGCATGCGACACATGGATAGTATTAACCAGCATTCTGTTCATCTCTTTGGTTCGCATCGAAGTGGTTGAATGATCTGCAATTCATGAGTTATCATTATGTGACAAATGAATATTGTGCATTAATATTCTATTCATCTTTTTGATTCTCATCGAAGTGGGAGGATGATGTTGAACGTATGAGTAAACATCATATGAGAAATGACTGCTATACACCAATATTCTATTCATCTTTTTGATTCGCGTCGAAGTGGTAGGATGATGTTGAAGGTATGAGTGAACATCATAGGAGAAATAAATTGAGCTGACCAAGATTCTGTCCAGTTTATGCGCGTTTTTGACAGATAGTTGAGGTAGGATGGATTTGTAAACGAAATACGGGTTAAATTAATGATCTGTACGTTTGGCTATCAGCAAGTCGGTGAGCGTTCGAAGAACAAGGTGTTCGACCGTACGGCCATTATCGTCGTCACTGTCAAAATTGCTGACAGCGTGGTAGGCTGTTGGAATGGCTACAAGGGAAAGAAAAACGATTACCTGGAGATGCATGAGTTCCATTTGAAAATACCAAGAGTTGTGGCTTTGTCGTTGATAAGTAAGTATGTATTGTTTGTTATATTTGGTGATTGCCGTGTGGTGTATTCTGTGTGTTTATATATATGGTTTTGGTGAGAGGTGTTTTTTCTCGCTTTGCTCGCTGAATATGTGTAGGGTAATCATTCATCCGTTAATTAGTAAGTAGCGTTTGCTTTTTCTCGGTAAAGATAATGGCCAGAGATAGAAATAGCAAGCGTTGGTATATTGTTATTTTTTTATTTCTTTGCCCTTGATGATGGCGTTTGTATGAGTGATTTGTAGGTAGGGCTATTGCGTGTTAGGAATTCAGATTGGGGGATTGTACATTGCAAGAATGATCTGTTTTATTTGTGTACTGTGATAACAAGTTGTTTTTTTGCTATTCTGGCCTTCACTGGTATGCATAAACATATCTGAGAAGGAAAATAAGAAAAAGGATGTATTGATATTTTTCTCTACTGAATAGATACCTGTACACTATAAAAAAAAAGGGTAGAATAGAAAACGAAAAAAGAGTTTATAAATGTGCAACGTATAAAGAACCCTTTACGAGGGTTTATTAAAGCTTCATAAACCTTTCCATAAACCCTGAAAAAAGGGATTATTATGGGGTATATGAGCGTCAAATACTGACTTTGATGGGTTCATGAATGGGTTGATAGTGCTCATAAACCTTTAAAGGATTTGCTCTAAGTTGCCTTTTCATAAACACATGAAAACGGTTGATAAGTGTCATAAACGTTCGCAAATAACCTTCAAAAACCCGTTGAAAAAGGATTGATGATAGTACGATATCCTCACTCACCACTTACTAAGAATACCTAGAAACGTTTATCGAAGTCATGAATGGTTAAAAGGGTTTATGCTGAGGCATATTAGTGGGTATATTAGTTGCCTCAGCTAGGGTTGAGAAGTTATTGTTATTCGGTTGTTATTCGGTTGTTATTAATAACAATAACAATAACAAAAAAGTTATTGTTATCAATAACAATAACTTTTTTGTTTTTGTTATTGTTATTCGGTTGCTATTAATAACAATAACAATAACAAAAAAGTTATTGTTATCAATAACAATAACTTTTTTGTTATTGTTATTCGGTTGCTATTAATAACAATAGCAATAACAAAAAAGTTATTGTTATCAATAGCAATAACTTTTTTGTTATTTGTTATTAATAACAATAACTTTTTTTGTTATTTGTTATTAATAACAAAAAAATAACAAATAACTTTTTTTTCTGAAAAATCTCTAACTAGGAGTGGAAAGTTACTTTTACGTTCCCAGCTAACCTTTAAGCCTTAGGTCCTCAACTCCTACTATTGGAGGTACTCTTGGGTCCTCAGGTCCTACTATTGGGGGGTACCCTCAGGTCCGCAAGTCCTATTATTCGAGGGTACCCTTAGGTCCTCAAGTTCTACTATTGAGGGTACTCTTGGATCCTCAAGTCCTACTAATCGGGAGTACCTTTAGGTCCTCAAGTCCTACTATTGGGGGTATCCTTGGGTCCTCAAGTTCTACTATTGGGGGTACCCTTAGGTCCTCAAGTCCTACTATTCTGGGGTACCGTGAAGTCCTCAAGTCTTACTATTGGAGGTACCCTTAGGTCACCAAGTCCTACTATTGGCAGGTACCCTCAGGTCCTCAAGTCCTATTATTCAGGGGTATCCTCAGATCCTCAAGTCCTACAATTGTGGGTACCCTTGGATCCTCAACTCCTATTATTCGGCGGTATCCTTGGGTCATCGAGTCCTACTATTGAGCGGTACTCTCAGGTTCTGAAGTCCTACTATTGAAGGTACTCTCAGGTTCTGAAGTCCTACTATCGTGGGGTACCCTTAGATCCTCAAGTCGTCGTATTGGGGGCATCGTTCCGTCCTGAAGTCCTACTATTGGAAGATACCCTTAGATCCTCAAGTCCTACTGTTGCGGGACCCTTGGATCCTCATGTCCAACTATTGGGAGGGTGGGTGTGGGTGTGGGTGTATGAGCAGAGGAACACCCACACCCACACACCCAGAAAACCATATTTCAAAATTTTATTCTTTCACCATTAGAAGAAATAATAGCCAAACATCTATCTTTCATGGAATTTACAAAATTAATTCGGAAATTTGAGTCTGTTTTTTCGATTTCCTCGTTCATAAATTCTTCCAGATCATCAATATTTGCGGGTTTTCTTTTTTCAACACGTCGTTTGATTAGGTTCCAATAGTTTTCAATAGGATTTAAGTCCGGTGAGTTCGCCGGCCACTCAAGTAATTCAGGAACCTTGTTCTTGATGAATTCTTTGGCAACACCACTCGTGTGTTTGGGGTCATTATCTTGTTGAAGTCGCCACCACCGTTTAAACTGCATTGTGGCACCTGGTAAAAGATGATGTTTAAGAATATCGACAAAATAAATACCATTGAGATTTGTCCTAAACGTATGATAACCAACAACGCCTTTGATACTGATTGCTCCCCATATGTGAACCTTTTGACGATTTTTCGGAATTCGTTTTACTTCACTTTCGGGATTTTTGGACCATCGTCGAATCGTATTTCTAAACAATTGAAAGGATGATTCGTCTGTAAATATTGTACGATTCCAATCGTGAGCTTGATACTTTTTGCCCATTCAACACGGTGTTGTTCCTGTTCAGCCGTTAGCATGGGTGTGTTGATAGGTAAAACACTCCGATAGCCATGTTCACGTAGATGACGACTGATCGTTGATAACGATACTGATCTCTGATGTGTTTTTGACAATTTTTCTTTAATTTCTTTTAATGTTGTTTCATTATCTCGACGAATATATTGAGCAATAGCTCTACGGCCTGCATTTCTGATTGCACGTGGACGACCATTACCACCTCGATGTTTAAGAGATTTCGTTTCTTTCAGTTTTTTGATGTTGTATTTAACAGTTGACAATGGAATTTTTGTTTCACAATGGATAAAATAAGCTGATCGTATACCATTATTCCAATAATGTAATATGGAGATTTGAGCGTTAGACAAATTAGTCATTGAAGATATAACTGACGAAAAAGTTATCTAAAACAACCATAAGAAAATACTTTTATATTGATATTTTTACTTCAGACTATAAGGAACTATTCATAAAAAAGGCGAGTCAATAAGTTTAAAATCAACAATAGAAATCGCTATATACGAAAATCAATTTTAGGCCAAGTTTTTTTGCAAACTACTGTACAAGTTTTATTTATAAAACAGTGAACGACGACACTATTAAGAACTTCAACACATATACAATAGCTTTCAAATAATTTTGAAAGCATTGTAATATTGTACATTACTCGAACTCATATTATTCATACTGTTCAATTCTTTTTCTTTTATTGTTAAATAAAGCTGAAGCCTATTGCGCGCCGTTGCAAAGGTCTGTAATGGGGGGGTTACCTGTAAGGGGGGCTACATGTAACGTTCTCTTTCGTTGCTGTGGTCTGTAAGGGAGGGGGGGGGGGGGGGCCGCGAAATCTCGATCTTAAAACTTACACTCACTATTTTCTTCGAAAATATATGTGAGTTCCACAAAATCGAAAAACATTGGTATCGGGAAATATCGAAAATTCTGCTCGGGTTTTGACTTTTTGCATATGAAGAAGTGATCCGATCGCGTTGAAAATTTCAGATAATACTAACCTCACTACTACCTATAACATATTAAAAAGTCAGTGAATTCTGAGATGTGTCTCTATCGTCGGTGTCTGAGAGTGACTAGTTTTCTCAGAGACTTACTTTTAATACTTAAGAATAGTTCTGTTATTGCATCTTTTATTCGAAAAAGGAATAGAACAAGCTGATAGGCTTATATTTGTGCAAAAATAAGAACGAGACGACAAATAAAAACTAGTATAGGTTGACCAGGACTTGGTCTCATTTTAATGAAATGTAATATCTTTATCCTCATCCCTTTCTCTTTATCAACCGTGTCATCGCTGTGTTCATATTTGACGACTCTCTATATGTGTGATTCTTCTCTTCTCTCATAATCGATACATTCGATTGCCATTTCTCTCTCTTTCTGTATTACTCCTATACAGATACATGCGTTTTTAGACCTCCATCTCCACGTTCGTCCTCAAGAAAATTTAAATGCGTGCATGTACAGTTTTATTTTGAAGTATGCGCACGCGAAATTCTTGCTGATCTTACTAATACAAAAAAATATCCATAACTGACAGTCTTATCGAAAAGTTCAAATAGTTTTTTTGAAAACTAAGTAGACTAGGGTGGGTGTGGGTGTGGGTGTGGGTGAGGGTGAGGGTGTGAATGTCGATCATGTTTTTAATTCATTCCACGCCCACACCCACACCCACGTTCACACCCACACCCACGTCCACACCCACACTCACGTCCACACCCACACCCACACCCACACCCACTCCCACACCCACACCCACGTCCACACCCACACCCACGTCCACACCCACACCCACACACACCCACACCCACACCCACACCCACACCCACCCATGCCAACACTCACACCCATCCACACCCACACCCCACACCCACACCCACAGCCACAGCCACAGCCACAGCCACAGCCACAGCCACAACCCACACCCAAACCTACACCCGCACCCACACCCACACCCAACACCCACCCACACCCGCCCCAGCCCACACCCACCCACACCCGCGCCCACACCCTTTTTGTTTAGTTAACAAGTGAATTTTGCTGTTTGAAAAGCTGGCCTGTTTCTGTATATATTTATACGTTCCTGGTTTTTGTAGTTTGCTTTATGCTGTGGCACAAAATGTTCCTTCAGCAGCATCGTTATCAAAACAAGGAAAATTAATTTTGAATTGGGATGCTAATGCTCGAAGAGCTGATTTTGCAGCGCCATCTGCCCAAGTAGCTCGATTTAAATAATAAGCTTCTCCAACCATAGTTAATGCTTGATGGTTAAATCTTGGTAGTGGTTGTAAAGCCCAATTAGCGATCTCTCGATTGGTAAAAGTACTATGAGGTCGTTGAAAATGCCAAGCACCTGGCCAGATTTTATAGAAGGTTTTTCTTGGTATAGGAATATTAACATCTGGAAAAATGGATTGAAGCCCTCGTCTTACTTCTTCAATAAGATCATCAGGCAATGGTCTGCGCATGTATTCTTCCCATGCACTAACACATGAACTGTCATCATAAACTGAACGAGTTAAATTTTGATCACGATCTTCAGGGTGCTGTACAGAGAGAACTTCAAGTAAATTAATACAGTTTTGACGTGTCCAAGCTCGATCAATGGAACCAAGTGGTGAAACTAATTGAGTTTCTTCCCACCATCTTCTCGGCCAATAGTTTTGAATTGTTACTATTTTCACCGGCAAGATTGCTTGAAAATGCGGAGTAGATTTAATCTCTTGTGCTACAGAACCTGTGATGTTTTTCCAACCGGATGGGTCAATCGCACATACAATTTGCTTAGCACGAATTTCATATCGTGTTGTTCGTACAGAAAATAGGAAGCCTTGATTATCATTTACAGCATAGTCTCCAATGCTTGTCACCTCTTCGGTTAAATATAAGCGAGCACCGAATTGTGTTGTAGCATTTAAAATCATTCTTTTTGGAAACTGAGACATTCCACCGTATGGATACAGAATTTCTCCACCGACATTCCATTCTTGATCAAAAAACTCCATATAAGCTCTAGGATGAGTGTTCTCAAAATCGTTTCGAAAGCGAAAAGAATCACGTAAATAGTCAGCTGCTTCGTCCCCCAGAAGCGCTCGAGCAAATGCAGCTAAATCAGAAAAATGGGATAGACTAGCAAGCGAAGTACGATAATGATTTAGCATAGCTAACCATAATTGATCAGCAGAGTTTACACCATTTGTGTCATTTGTACAATTCAAGTTTTCGTAAGAAGAATTGCACATATCATTGTATTGAGTATAAAATTTTCCACGTGCTTTAATTAAGTTGGATTGATAAGCATAGCTACTTGATGTTATATTTAATTCATTGGCTAGTTGAACCATGACAGGTTGCGATCTATAAAATCGTATCGAACCTAGTGGGGCCACACTTGTTTCAAACGTCTGAACAGTTTCACCTTGAAAATTTAAATCATGGCCTTTTCCTCCAACACGGTTTTCTCTTTCAACTATGCACAAGTCATTCTTATACTTAGCTGCTAAACGATAAGCTGCATAGGATCCACTAAAACCACCTCCCAATATCAACACAGGACAATCCAAAGGAATCAAATCATGTTTTGGTACAAATTCCTGTTGTTGCTGTTGTACTTTAACATATGTCAAAGAAATTAATACCAGATTTGCAATAAGAATGAGAATTCCAGCAACTGATCCAATTGTATAAATATATTTCTCGCCGGCCATTGGAACTGTAGGTATGCTGGCGTGAGGAGTTTCCAATAATGAAAAATTGATAGATATCTGAAGCGTATGCTAAAATTGTGAAAAATCAATGGGTGCGGCACAATAAATGAGCTTGCGATTTTTTCTCAATAGGGTGTAGATATGGATGTGGGTGGGCTGCGGCTGTGAGTGGGGTGTAGCGGTACACAAGCTCAGCTCAAGCTCACAACTAATGAGCCGTTGAAAACGCTCACTGAGACGAACTGAACTGTTCGAACAGTTCATTTGAGCGAATTGAGCGTTCTGAAACGCTTCGTTTCAAATGAGCTGAACTGTTCGAACAGCTCATTCGACCGCATCGAGCTTTTTGAACAGCTCATTTCAAATGAGCTGAACTGT